TTAACCCTTTGTATACCAAGGGGGGTGGTATTTATTTGTCCCAAAAATGAGTATATATTACAAAAATGCTTGTCAAGCTCATTCTTTACAATAAAACCCTATAAAACCATATATATTTAGAAAGTACATTAAATATTCTTTCACGTCAAGTATACAAATTATGACACATGTCAAAATTGTGACGTCATGACAGGCATAATTTTCATAATTATGCACATTTTTAAAGAAAATTTGAAATCACTTGCTCTCAAGAAAAAAATCCAACTATTTCCAATCCTAATCAACTTTCTACAATGTTTCAAGGGATAAGCAATATTTTTTAGGGCAATATACCCCAATTGGGAGAATTTAAGACAAATTATAACTTCCTATTACAAGGAAAAAATTCTTAAAATAAAAACATCATAAGAAATATTCTTAAGATACAAAGAGTTCCTCTGTGGGTTATACAACCACTAATCTTGTGCCTCAGTAGCTCATAAACAGGCTCTTAAGCAATACAGAGTTAGTTTCTTAATGTTCTCCTTCTCCCTCTTTGATATGGCCTCCCTCTTCCTTCTTTCAGCCGCCTGGGGCCATTTCGACTTTCATCTTCAAAGAAATAGTCTTGCATTGTGTGGTATCTTTGAAAGCATGGCTCAGGACACATTCTCACACCACAAATGGCACAGCTGTATATTGTTTTAACTTTCTGAACATGCACCTTGCAGGTTGATCGTGTTTCGTTACTTACAGGGTAATGAAAATGATCACGATTGAACCTTATATCAGGGATAGGAACAGGGGTCTGCACTAATCCTGTGTCCTTCCGGAAGCACTTGCCTTGAACTAATCCACTGATCAGTTGCATTCTAAACTCTAGAGCTCTTTTACTGACATGATTTTGTGACCTGGTGTGGAGAATATGTGCATTTGATACACACACCTCTATCATGTAAAAGAAAATTTTGTAATACCAGACTGACCCCTTCATTAGTCTAGCATACGCAACACTTCTCTGGTCAGACACATCTACGCCACCCATGTAGGTGTTGTAGAGGTCAATTACACCTGGTCGATTGAATTCCTTCTTTTCCCACTTCCCGTTTGTTTTGACTGACCGCTGCACTGTGCTTGAGTCAATTGTGCTGGTGGGAAGGGTAGCTAAAACACTAACTGGCTTCCTGTCACGCCATGTCACGCAAGTCAAATTTCCCTTTTGCCTGTACAGACACTGCCCTCTTACAAGATCTTTCACTGCCTTTTCTTTGACACCACAAATCTCCTTTGGCAAGTGTACCCTGTTGGACCTTACAGTGCCACATGCAAGTGTTTTCCTTACTTCTAGCTCCTCAAACAAGGCTACAGATGTATAATAATTGTCCATGAAGGCATAGAATCCTTTATCTAGATAAGGTTCCAACACAGACATAACTGCCTTCCTCCCTAAATCTCTCTGAACCTCATTGTTTTCCTTGCCAGTGTAAATCTTGCTATTCAATACATAACCACTGCTGGACTCTGCAAGGGTGAAAGCCTTTATCCCGAATCTTCCTGGCTTTATAGGAATAAATTGTCTGAAGTGCACTTTGCCTTTGAACTTAATTAAAGTCTCATCTATGGCAAGTTGCCTCTCAGGTGTGTAAACTGCCTGAAACCTTGCTATAAGCAAATCCAGGAAAGGCTGAATTTTGTACAGCTTATTGTAATCTTCAGAATCTCTTGGGGGGGCACGGGTGTTGTCGGCAAAGTGCAAGTACCGCAAGATTTGCAGGAAACGTGTCCTGGACATCACAGATGGGAAGAAAGGAGAACTTAGGATGGGATCAGTGCTCCAGTAAGAATTAAGACTTGGTTTAGTTACCAGCCCCATATTTAGATAAAGACTAATCCAAGCCTTCATTTCATCTTCTGTTACTGGATACCATGCAGAGCTTTCTGCTGGCCCTCTCTTCTGCTCTGCATACAAATTAGTTTGACTAACTAACAACTGCCATACCTCTTGTGTAAAAAAGAGCTCAAAGAAATCCAAACATTTCAGGTTTCTTGTGTTGACATTTACCGGTATTCCTGGTTCTTCACTGAAGTCAATATCTACTCTGCGTTCGACCGTTCTTGACCATTCTTCAGGAAATTGCACTTCAGTCTCAGTGTTTTCGTCCTCTGCGGACTCTTCACTAGAATCCTCTGAGCTTGATTCAGATGCACCAGAGTAAAATTCCTGATCAGAGGCTCGGTGCTCGTTTAAATTAGCAAGTGGGAAGTCTTCTTCGTCGATAAATTGAATTTCAACATCGTTTTGAACGCTAAAATCTAGTGTAGCATCATCTCGAAGAGCCGCCATTTTTAAATCACCTCGCTCAAAACGTTTAACTAAAAGAAAACTCGCAAAATTCGCTAAAAACCCGCTCGATTGAAGAAATTTTCGAAAAAACTGAAGAACTACGTTGTGTAGTCTGAACCAAAATGTAGCATTAGTTTCCAGCCCCTAAAATCCCTCTTTCAAGGACGCCCGAATGGGGCCTGTATTTAAGTGGCCACATATGGCCACTTGGTACGCAAAGGGTTAAGTCATTGAAGTTTCAGTTTCTGATGAGGAAGTTTGCCATATTGGACTCTCGCATGACTCGTAGATGTCATTTTTATCGAAAGTGATTTAGTCTCAAACGTCATTAAGATGTCAGCAACCTTACAATCTACCAGCAATCGCTCGCAAAACGAAAGTTTGAAAGAAATGTTTCAGCCACACGAAGCACTCGATCATCCATGTGATTTGACTTTGTTGGTGGAAGACGGAAAAGAATTCAAAGCTCATAAAGATGTTTTGTCGAAGGCCAGTCCCTTTTTTGAAAAGCTGCTGAACAGCGACATGAAAGAGGCTAAAGAGGGAATAATTCGGTTGGAGATGAGTAACGAGTTAGTGATGTCTGCTGTACTGGAGTTTATTTACACTGGTAGCGTTCAAACATTAGCCCCTCGAGAGATGGCCGAAAATCTTGTCTTTATGGCTGATTACTTGTTTCTTCCGAAATTAAAAGCTCTTGCCATGCGAGTTGTAGAAAACTTAGAGGCCATGAATGCTTCAAACTGTATTTCAATCTACCATTTTGCAGAATTGTATCGATGCGACGAAATTCTGTCCAGGACCAGACAGTTTATCCTAGCAAATTTCACATCCGTAGCCAAAACAAACGAGTTTTTTAATTTGTCCAACGAGGAAGTTGAGATGTGGATTTCCAGTGACGAAATAGATGTGACCACCGAGGAAAATGTGTTTGAGATCATTTTAGCATGGATTGATCGAGATAAAAACGAACGAAAGAAATATTTCGCTGATTTATTTCGTCAAGTTCGACTTGTTTATGTATCACGCGACTTCCTATGCGGTGTCATTGCGACCAATTACCATGTGAAAGTTAATGACGGATGTTTGGATCTTGTGAAGGGCGCTCTGAAGGCAATTGACTCAAACAACTTCGACGATTTATCTACCCCACCAAGGAAGGCCCCGACCATTGTGGTGTGCAGTGAGGAACACGTTCTTTGTTATTTCCCTCGCGAAGACAGATGGTGCAATGTAGGAGACAGTTTAGGTTCACATCACCGAACTCAGATAGCCTCTATTTGTCATAACGAACTGTATTCTTTTTCTCCATCAAATTCAGAGGTCCCTATGTCACAAATGCACCGCTATGATTTGTTTTCTAACACTTGGACGCCATTACCGTACTATGAAGAAGGAGCTATGAAGCAGATAGTTGTCAGAAATGGTTGTGAAATTTATGGTGTGGTAACTAAATACAGGTGCCCTGAGTGCAACAGAAGACTGACTGGTTTCTGTCCGTGTCTCCTTTCATTATACGGCCAGGAACATTATTCATGCTTCAAATGCAAAGGACGACTTTCACATGCAGTCTGCCAGACTTGCCTTGAAGGCGAATTCGACGTTTCTATGATTTCGAGGTACGCACCGGAGTCAAACGTTTGGCAAGACATTACATCTTTTGATTCGGGTTTAAGGGAAAGAGTTTGCCTTGTAGCCAGTGATAATTTTATTTATTTCATTGGCGGTGGAGTACGCGGAGAAATGAACAAATACCTGAGCGATGTTGACAGGTATGACCTTAACCAAAACACTTGGGAGAAAGTAGCTGACATGCAAGAGGAGAGAATGCTGCCTTGTGGTGCTGCAGCACATGGAAAAATTTTCATTGCTGGTGGAAACAAAGGGGCGCCTGCTGACACTTGTGAAGTGTACAACGAACGATCGAACGAGTGGGAGATTATATGGGGCCTGGTCACTAGGAGGAACCAGTTCCGCCGTATGGTGTGTTGCGATGGCAACCTATACTTATTGGGTGGTTGCTATGGCGGCGACTCTGAAGGAGCAATAGTTGAGCGCTATGATTATGATAACGACGAGTGGATCAAAACCACCACAATACCTTTCCAACAGAATGAGAATGAAGAACTTGGCTTTGCAAGTGCCTGTTCAATGGAAATTTCTAAAAATAATCTCAGCTACACTGTCTTGGATTCAGCGTCAATTGGTGTGACAGAGCATTTGACAAAAAAGACAACTCGCGCTAATCAAGTGGCGAAGACTTCTCATTAGATGACTGTAATAGTAACATCGCTGTTAAGTTTTCATTGTAGCGTTTATTAAGTGCGCGAGACGCGAAATTTCACGAATGATTAACTCATAACCAAGCGTTATGTGTATTTTGTGGACGACAAGGCCTAGAGACTCATGTTGTGAACAGCTCTCGTCCGTTTCGTTTGCGAACAAACAGCGTTTCCATGAATGTATACTCAATTCTTCTACTACGCTGTACTTTTAATATTTTAGTCTTAATTTGGCTTGGAAACCTTCATGGTACTTAAACCAGATTGTTTAGAATTTTATCATTGTTTTTAATATCAGTGCAGTACGGCTGAACCCACCTTATGAGTGCTCACAGGTGACACGATCCACTTTCTATAGACGCCAACAAAATTTCACTCCATCATTTTCGCCATTCAGGAAACCACTCCCCCATCTCAAGAGAACCATATTTTAGTGACTCGTTGCCATGGTGTTCAAATTCAAGGAGTCCTTCTGAAAGTGGGAAAAAATTCCTAGCTCTCTGAAATATCTGATGATGGTTTGTTGGTAGCTTCATTGGTTCGTTCTTTTTTTTTCCGATCGTTCTTTCGATTCGTTCGTTCGTTGGTTTGTCGATGGGTGGGCTCTTTGTTTTGTTGGCTGGTTGTTTCGTTCTTTTGCTTCGTTCGTTGGTTCGTTCATTCTTTCGTTTGGTCGGTCGGTCGGACATTCGTTCGTTTGTTCGTTTAGTTGGTTTATCGTTCGCTCGCACGATTATTCTTTCCTTCGCTTGCTCGTCTATTGGTACAGTTTATTACACCCTCAGTCTGATTTTTACAAAAGTTTTGTTTAGTTAGATTTACTGACAAGCACAGGCCTTTTGCTTTGGATTGTTGCCGATATTTATGACGCCTTTAATTAATCTAATTTTTACAAGCTTATGAAGTTTTTCTATAATTAAATTAAATGAAAACCACAGGCTTTTTGCTATGGTCATTTGTCAGAGTTTCTTGTTATATTTATATTAAGTTAGAACGACAAGTCTTTAGCTGTGGATGTTTGTCAGTATTAATCACACCTTTAGTCTAATTTTTACCAGAAGTTTTTTTAAAAATCTATTTAGTGAGAACCACAGACCTTTTACCAGAGAGTTCTGCCGATATTTATTTTTTTGGAATTAAAAATGTTTTAAAGAACCTCACATTTGAGTAACCATCAAAAAGAAACAATTCTGCCGGTAGAATTATATTGCAATCTGAGTTTAATCCACCGTTATATTAATGAAATCCAATTTGATTGCAGTTTTGGTCGAGAGATTTCGTTCGGTTCTTTCTCTATAAAGAGGATTTCGCAGTCCTTTCTTTTAATTTTGCTGAAATTATGTATTTCTGCAAGCAATTTCAGAACACCTGAACGAAACTTTATATTCGATCATCAGTTTTGCTTCTCCGTATGGAGATTGGGGCCATAAATTTTACTTCTTCAAGACACACTGTCAGACGCCGCCAGCCCTGGCTCTACCCAGGATCACCATTCGCTCTTTCCCCACTGTGCTACGCCATGTTTCTCTGAGTCTTCTTCTCTTGCGTTTTCCTTCCGGTACCCATGCATATGTCGGTGCAACTCGTGGTAGGGAACTGTTATCAATTCCCAGCACGTTTCCAATCCATGTCCACCTCCTTCTCTTTGCTTGGTCGCTGATAGTTTCCATGTTAGCTCACATGTGCTTCTCTTCATTTGACACTCGCATGGGCCAATAGATTTTTAAACGCCTACGCAGGAACTTGTGCTGGAAAGTATCTAGCTTGGCTTCATCTCCCTTTGTCATCCTCCCACGATTCACATCCGTACAGCAACACAGCTATTACATTGGACTTGAATATCCTTATCTTATTGTTTGATTGATTGATTGATTGATTGATTGATTGATGACTTGAATGATTGAAAGATACCTACACTCTAATAATCAAAAAGACATAAATTTCAAACATTCGCAAAATTGGCGAATACATTTACAACACAGCAACACCTCATTTACAATTTCTCAACTACAAGAAAGATAAAAGTAAATAAATGGAGGCCTACATGAGCTCACATTGTGAGCCTATGTTTGTAATAACATTAAGCACCCATATTCTCACACTGAAACACTTCAGATCCCCCTCTTGTAGTATCACTGACCCATATGCTAAGTTAACTTTTGACTTGCGGTTTTGGGGTATTTTAGAAATCCAGTATAAGCCATTTATAACAAGGGCTTATTTTAACCTGAAAATCTTAGGGTCTTTCACTTTTTTAAGATAATTCAGTTTTATCCCAATAACGGCAAATATCACTTTTAAGCCACACATGTACGCACTGCGGACCTATTTTTTATTCCTAGTTGTCAGTCACTTTTCTTAGCTTAGAAGAACATTTTGGGAAGTTGGCAAGACCTTAGTTGAATTTTCACCGCACTAATCATTTGTCTTGTGGAGTTNTATTTTTTATTCCTAGTTGTCAGTCACTTTTCTTAGCTTAGAAGAACATTTTGGGAAGTTGGCAAGACCTTAGTTGAATTTTCACCGCACTAATCATTTGTCTTGTGGAGTTAACAAGGACAACACAAACTTTGTGAAATTAAGTTCAAGTTCCAGTTTATTAAAATGTTTTTGAAGAATGGTTTTAATTGAGTTACTCGCGCTCGCGTTATATTGTCAAGAACTGCTCGCACGGAATGATTTAACCATCATTTTGTCCATGTTAAATACTTTGACTCGCCACCTCTTTAAATCCGATCTTAGCTTAGCATGGATTAATAGACCACGAACATAAAAGAACATAATTTCTCGTCCCCTCTTTTGTCGTGAAAATCTCATGTAATCCAGTTATTGCGACTTTCGACAACTGTCGTGCGCAGTCGTTGACTTTGAACTATGTCAAATATTTCGCAGCGAGAGTCGTCATGGTGTGTTTTTTCTCGTTTATTGGCCCTCGCTCGCGGAGCGAGTCAGTTAAAAGCGAAAAATCTACGAGAGTTTTCCTGGTGACTGTTTATTTATTTATTTATTTATTTATTTATTTATTTATTTATTTATTTATTTATTTATTTATTTTCACTCGTTTATTGGCCCTGGCCCGCTGAGCGAGTTTAAAGTGAAAAATTCACTGCAACTCTCTCCCGTAATTAATAACATTCAGTCGTTGATGAAAAGTATCATAGCTTTTTAGCTTACAGGACACTGGGTTCATTTTCACGAGATAAATTCTAAGCTGGGCGATTGTCTTCAAAGATATCCTCTTTCCAAGACACCAGTGATAACGTTATGTGTACAAAAAAAAAAACAAGTCACGCGAGGTTAAAACATATTTTCCTTCTTTTCAATCTCGTAAAACGTGGGACAAGAGGTGAAGAATTAGACAGAATTGAAGATTCGTTGTGCATCAAAATAATCAGTGCTAAAGAATAAATTGGTTCAGGGCAATTTTCTGGAATTTGTGATTCATTTATGCACGAACAAATTTGATATAAAGGGAAGACTATATATCTACATATGAAGCGACAGAAAAACTTTGACGAATTGCTTTCAAAATGGTTCTAGAAAGAAAGTTAGGAATGCAAAGTTGACAAAAAGTATCGCACGTCAGTTTAATTGGGATAAATGGACTTTAAACGTTTTGCGGTCCTTCATAACTAACACAATCTCTGGTTATATTTTGGAACTCTGTCCAATTGACTTACGAGAATCATTGGAAAGTCGTTTGGCAGAGCAGGACAATTAAAACCTAATGTTGGCAGTCACATCTTTTAACGTTGATCAAATTCACCCCAAGGGAAAATTCATACTTAATAAAGCAATTTAACTTTGAAAAGACTTCAAATGAAAAGAAAAATTATTTCCGTGACAGTATGATACGAAGCCTTCACACAAAGGGGTCATTTCCGAAGGGACCCTTTATTACGAGTTAGTAATAGTTCAGTTGAAAATTCTGGGGAAAAAAATGGCAGAACTCAGGTATTTAACGTTAGCGGTCGAAAATGTACTCGGGGAAAGTGTGAATCAGCTATAGGAAAAAAACAGGCAGATAGGAAACAGAAAAATCTCAGTTTATTAGAACTTCAAGAGCAGATAATGTCAATGGTAGCAAAAATTCGTGTGGTATGTAATAAGACCCGTTCAAACCGGCCGGAAAACAACACTTTAGAGAGTGAAGAATTAAACGGAAGTAAAGGCTTGAAAACTCGGCATTTATACTGTTCGTCTAACGAAGGCAGTCTTTTATCTTCGAAAAGCACTTACAGCCGGGTTCAAAAATGATAAATTAAGGTGGAAATTGTGCTGCGGTTGTATCGTAAAAGGTGTTGTTTTGGGTTCAATAGATTTTAAGTCCTCTAGCAGATGGAAATAGAATTATATTAGTTCGTCTGGCAGGACCTACAAAGAAACAAAACAATTTGAATTATTTACTTCGTACACCGCTTTCTCAATATCAAGAGTAACTGTGACACAGTTCAAAGTTGTTTTAAAATCCCTATCAAACGGAAAAATGTCACTCAATAGTATTGTTAAATTCTTGACTGTTAACATTTCACAAAGGTTAAATTAAAAACAAAATTCACAAAGACCATTCAAAGAAAATTATTTAGTATAGCGAACTTAATAATCGTTTTGAAGCAACGAGCAGTTTTAACACCAATTTTAGTCCAAGATGGATGCTTCTGGAATCATTAAAAGATCTCTATTGTCTCGCTTTGGCACATTTATCTTTTCAGTGCAGGTTTTTTTTCAATAATGAGCTGTTATCAACATTCGCACAGAATTTTTATCATAGAAATGCTATCTTCATCAATTCTCCGCCCATTAATAGCCTTGCCTTCGAGCAATAAACTTTGAAAGAGATAGCTATCTAATATTAAATCTCTATAAATGATAATTTTCGTAGCATGTAGACTAAACTAAAAACTATTCTTACAATCAGATGGCGAAAAGCGCTGCTGGCAAATTACAAAAACAAAATGCACCGAAAATAGATTGTTTTTCTCGTTCCATTAACTTTGAAGAGAAAATTACTTAGCGTAACATACTCTCCCTTAATTCCCGCACTAAAGCAAGCAACTGATTTTATTCAACATTTGTTAACTGACGTGCTGTATGCTGAATTTGTTGCCGGTATATATTCAATGACGTTTTCATGATCAATTCTGAGATATGGAGCTTCTTCCACCTGTATTTCTTAGGGGCAGTAAGTACCTAAGGTAATATAATAAATTCCAAAGTTGTCTTCATTAAGGTTCGCTTGTCTATTATGGTCACTTAGTTCAGCATAACTTGTTCCCGAGACGCTAAAAAAACTAACAATATTTCCATGGAATGGTGTAGGCGTAGATATTTATTGGACTGCATTCTAAACGTTTAACCATTGTGGAAGAGTGCGTCAAGAGAACCATTGTGGAAGAGTGCGTCGAGGGAACATTCGGAGAAAGGTAAGGTCAAAGACTGCTGCTCTAGAACGACACGGCAGCAAATAGCACTAAATTCGGCTTGGGTTTGCAATTTTATTTAAGGTTTCAAATTGAATCTGTTGTACTTCTTAAAAATAATTTGTCCATTCTACGATTTAGTTTGGTTTGGTTTAGATTCAATCAAAAGAAAAAACAGTGGTATATTAAATAACTAATGAATTGAACACATCAATGACTAAAGCTTGATTCTCCTTCGGGCCAGCTCTTGTCGTGGTCGCTTTTTGCGGGAAAGAGGTTTTTAATTAATACCCTACAAGTGAGCGTAACTTTATCTTTTCATGATCATATTCTAAGAAAAACAAAACGAATTAACACCAAATACATTGAATTGGGTTCTCTAAGAGAGCATGTCTCCGCTTCGGTCTCAACTACTTTACAGAAACTTCTTCTAGGACCTGAACAAAACAAGTATTCGTTCGTATTTTCAGGCCATGACTTATTTGTACAATTATTCACAGTTACATTAGTATTTTGTCTGTTTGTTACGGCCCCCTATACTTCTTACACCGCAAAGATAAAGCTTACATATGCGCTTTCAATGCACAATGCTTGTGCAAACAATCCAAACATTACTTAACCAATATACCCAAGAACTTAATTTTTTTTGGCGGTTTTTTTTTCTCGGTGCCTTTTCATGCTAATAAAACTTTAGCATATCTTTTAGACGCACTATATGAAGTTTGCCTAAGAACAACATTATCAATGCTATTTAACAGGGCGCCTGTTCAAGATAATCACTATAAAAATTAAATCCGCCCCGATTTTACCCCAGTGTGGACATGGAAAGAAGAGACACTCTAACCTGCATGCCAACCAATATACCAAAAAGCCAAAATGAAAATTGCGTGGGTGTGTAATAAAAAACGCCGAAAGGAAATAACTTGCTTCAGATGGCCGGTGGAAAAGCTATTAAAAAACAGAATACAAAGGCTTCATTAGGTTAGGCTTTTTCAACGCTATCTCATAAATCTTTCACTGAAGTACAGGCCAACGCCTTTCGCTGATATATCTTAATTTCTTCCGCATTGTCAGTTTTCAGTTTGCTGCGGACGAAAAAAAAAATCTTCATTAACATCAAAAAACGGTGGCTAAAAGACAGGAAACTTCACTTGGTAAGTTGTTTACAAAATTGCTTTCAATTGTAATAGGAAAATTTGACGACGAAATAAAGTTAACGAACTGAAATCGTCCAAAAAATGACAATATGATGGCAAATTTTTAAAAAAATAATTTCAATGTAGATCAGTAAATTTTCATGAAAGATTTTTTTTTCTCGCTACGCTGGGTTAATTGGGAATCCGTGCTAGCGGAGAAATGCCAAAAGAAACAATTTTGATCAAAACGAAAGTAAACGCTAGACATACTTTTAATTATGTCATTTTCATTTGTCAAATATGAATTTCGACTCTTCAATTATAGCTACGAAACTACTTATAAGAAATCTACGACCTCATCTCTTGTGTTAAAGAGGGTGTTAACTTTGATTTGGGCGCTCATTTTGTCTCGAAATTGTCGGCCTGAGTGAGCTGAAATTACTACAATTTGCACACTGGCAAGAAACGTATTTTCATCGCCCGGAGCAACCATTCATAAGTATTTTTTATAAGTATTTTTTATAAGTAGTGGAAGAAAAATAGTTGATCACTACTTGTACGATTGTTCATCTCTGATCCTAAATGCGTACCACTGAAAAATAAACGAAAATTTAGAATCATGATTGACTTTTGAACAGGATTAGTGTCCATTCTCACTACCTCATTTCTCACTTAAGATGCGTGTGACACAATAGTTACTTTTTGCGGACACGTAAAGAAATGCCTCAAGATTCAAGAAACCACATATCTAATATACTGAGTTTTCCACGAAATATGTTGGGAGACTACTCAGATCTTGTGTACACATGGAGTTTAATACAGCTCCGGCTGTTTCATTGGGTAACATGAAGAGTTAGCCCACTCATCAACTGATTAGTTTTCATACACAGTGAAGCCTACTAAATACACATGTGTATGAAATGAAACTTAAAGCTTTCTTGTGTACGTACTCTCATGCTGCATAACTGGTTTGGCTTTTTACGAATTCGTGCAAATGATGTCAAAAGTGCATAAGCTACCATTTTCTTTGCCTGATATACTGTTTGGCCATAAAAAATACGCTATTATTACAACAACTCCACGAGCACAGATGTTTTTGTTTCTTGCTGTTGTCAGGCATGCAAACAAATTTTGAACCATGCGGTCGCGTGACAGAAAAAGATCTTTATCTGGTATTTTAAGACCGACAAGAGTGTGGAAGAGGAGAGTATTTGAAAGCAACGAGTCAATGACGTCAGTGTATGCCCGACTGTCTCTAAGCTACTTCCTCTCTGAGTATAGTTAAGATCTGCGACAAGTTTGCTTCATGGCGATTTTAAACGCATCAAATACAGTCTCATTGTGATGTGCATGGGTTTTAGCCAAAGATGGTACACTTTAATTTCAACCTGAACAGAACTTTTTGAGCTAATTCGAAAGAAAACGTATCACAACATCAAGGCAACATTTTTGGCAATTGTAAGATCTTAAGCTCTTCCTGTATTGTTATGGTTCAAGAGTGCCTCAATACTCTAATAGTTTGTCATGACACTTATCTCAATCCAGTTAAAAAGCTTGTGGTAAATATTGGTTTGATTCAGTTCAGTTTTGTTCATTTTGCATTTTTGATTAAATACCACCATGTTGCGGACCTCTATGTATCTCAAGGACAAACTTTAATGTGTAGTTTTGTGCTATATGTATATATTGCGATAATGGCGATTCCTAAATACAGCGAATTCTGCACGTGCTGGTACTAAAGGTGTAGATGACTTCAGTGAAGATCTCTTTCTCTTTAGTCTTTTTCTTGACGATCGCAAATATGATCCATTTTAAATCTGTGACATCCAGCCATGCTCCCACGACCTTCCCAAAAGACCATATTCGTATTCCCGGTATTGGACTGGAACTAGCTTGCAGTCGAGGTTCATGCGGGGGAATATCATTAAAAGAGATTAACATCATTTGCACTTGAACAGACTCCCCGCATTAGCCTCAGTTGCACGCTAGTTCCAGTCCAAAACCGAGAATACGAATATGGTCCGTTGACTAGCCGCCCCCATCCCCTCCCTTGCAAGGTGCTTTTGAATCCCTTGATGGAGTGTACGCTCGGCATGGCATAGGCCATAGGTTCGAATCCCGTTGAGCTTTATGGGTGTCATTGATGACTGCTTGCGCTGAACATTTCGTGATGCTAACCGGCTCGACCTTGGACATTATAAAGAATGAAGTCTTTGTGCGATTACGATATTAAGGTTTCATATCATTTCGAAAATTTAAAATAGAACGGAGGTGATTTTGTATAACACAGGTTTATGACTGTTGCTGAGCCAGCCGCAAGACATTGCGCTCACTACTGAAAAACTGAAGGGCCAAATGGGACCGTAATGAATTTAAAAAGGAAAAACAAGATTAAACGATCATTTTAAAAATATTCATGACCAAGATATTTTAGCGTCCGTTTTCAGTTACCTAAATGGTCCCAAATTGCTTCACCTCACGCGCACAAAAACATTTAGTCAAGAAAAACCAACCCCCTTTGTCCAATTTTCTAAATGCTCTCTTTATTTCCAAGCAAAACGAAACACTACATATAAATTTAGCATAAGGATCAAATTTATGCTGCAAACTGCTTGTGGCATCCTGTGATCTTAATTACGGTAGAGAAAAAGACCTACTAGAACATTTCGATATTTTCGCTTTTATAAGATCTGAAGACTGAGTGGTCGATTGTAAAATCGACACTAACGTGAAACATGAACTTACAGTGGCCTTAAAGTTCCCACGCTTCTCTGGTGTTTGTAGCATGAACCGACTAGGGCTGTCCCTACTCCCCCTGAGTGGTATGCTAGTCCATCGCAGATCACTTCTCGAGCCCTTCCCCTCCCCCAATGTTTTTTACAATATTTAGAGAGGAAGCCACGTCAGCCTTAGCTGTTTTTCATGCGGTTTTCTATCCTGGTCGAACTGGAATTTGGAGTGTTGGTTTTTGTGCAGAGAGGAAAATCGAGGAAGTCGGAGAAAAACCCTCGGAGCCATGCCATGCGCGCCAGGCGAGAACCAACAAACTCAACTCACATATCCGCAACCCACATTTTTTTGTTCATTGGCACCAGCCAATCAGATAAAGAGAAGCAATGTAAAGTGTTTTGTCTAAAGAAACAGCGGAAAGGACAAAGACCATGGCACAAAATTTTTTGCGGTTCTTGTTTAAAGGGGCGGCTTTTTCACGATCTGCAAAAGCTGTTTTCCCCAGAAAGAAAAAAACTCTACTGAAGGTTACTGGAAGATGAATCTAGCTCTCTGGGAGAATCCTACAGGACAGAGTAGTACATGCTCGAATTTTGAAGACTTTACCTTAGTACGAGAAAAACAGGCAGCAACTTTTGCACCCGACTAGCTAAAAAGCGTCAAATTAAATTACTTCGCTACAAGAGAAAACAGTATCTCTTAATCGCAAGAATTAGATCCCGCAAAACATAAAAAAATCCCCAATCTGCAAAATTAATAACCCCGCAAAAAATTTTGTCGCTCGGTATCGATCATGAAACTTCAAGTCTAAAGGCGTTAACCTGTTAACCGCCCTTTCTTCAGTAGGAAAATTATATTTCAGATATTATGTGGAATTCCAGTTTCTCGAACCTCCAAGGGAAACGAAAATCAGTTGATTTGAAAAATCACTTAGTTCGAGAAATTGGAGAAAAAATTACAGTGTTTGACTGAGGAGAGGGAAAAGACTTTTGGTTCGAGTTATTAGTAGGTTTGAAAAGTCGAGGGTTCGAGAAATCTAGATCAGTTCCACTGGAATTCTATTTTTAGTTACATGTTTGTATGTGCGGCTTACCTCATCGCTCAATGTTATCGTTTCAAGCAGTTTTACTCATCCAAAGCCATCACAACTCCTCGTTTTGTCTGCTGTGGCTTTACTAGTTTCTTAATTAAAGATATTCTCAAGAATTTCGCGATAAAAAGAACACGTTCGTAGAATCACCAGCTTTGATTTAAGCATTTCAGTGTTTCGTGATACAACGGAGAAGTTTCATTAGTTGTTCTTGTCAAACTAAACCTCCACAGAAAAAATAACTTTAAATAATTGAACTAAATGCCTCATTTCGAGAACGAGTATTACAAAATGCGTAAATTAAGTAATCAAAAATAGCCTCTTGTTTATTGATATTTGGAGAAGTTAATTGTTATGAGTGGGCGTTGGCGATAGGTGAAAACTCTCGTGGGCTGTTAACCAAACGATTCAGTGAAGGTATACTTAAAAGCAAACACTTTTTCCTGTCTTGTAATTCATTCATTGCAAATAATGTTATTCGAAATTCAGGAGCAATCTTTAGATGCATTAGAAGAAACCGCAGGACACTGCTATCAAGTTATATAAAAATTTTAGTGAAGCCGCGAGCAGGACAAGGTGGCGTGTAGCTGAAATTCCTTCATATCTACTCCAGATATGCGCGCCGTATCACCCGCCGTGCTGCCCACGCTGTTAAACCCACAACAAATTACTGCTATAAATAGCTGCATGCTGTTTTTAGACAGTTATTCTCACTCACTGTCTCTCACGCACAGGTACTGATTAGCCGTTGCTTTGTCTGCCCGACGATGGAAAACAAGTTCTTGATTTTATTGCTGACCATCGCAGTTCAATTTCTGTCAACCGGTATGTGCAAGCCTCTGATTTCAATGTTTTTACAGATAGTGCACATGATTCTTAAAAAGCAAGTTTTTTCCCTGTCGAGCAGATAGCTGAAAGTAATGCATTTTGCTGTAACGATTATATACATTGGAGATTGATTGCCAGAAGTGTCACTCTTTTTTTAACAAATCATTGCGGGTTTATTTTGCCGTCTTGAAAATAGATTTTTTTGTTAGACTGAATCTCGAAACAGACTAGGGAAATAATTTTTACACTTCTGGGGCCCGTTTCTCGAAGGTCCCGAAAAGTTTTCACACCCGAATAACCTTAGCAAAATCTCAAACCTTATGACTAGAGAGCCGAAAAGATTTCGGGGCTTTCGAAAAACGGGCCCCTGCAACGAAAACCAATAACTGTCAGTAAAATTTGAGCAATTTGTTTCGTCAAAGTCTTTTTGCAGTAGCTATCTTTAGTTTGCAGCCTGTGAGCATTTGAAAAAAAAATAGTTTGCGAATAAAATATATTTCACAAAAGTTTTCCTTACGGACACTTTATTTCGTGCCACGTTTGCGGAGCACAAAACCGCGATGAATATTTAATCTATCGGTTGCTCGTATCTTTGGCAAGTGGGAAATGATATCGAGGATGTCACATGACCGCGCGAGGATACGAATTTTATCTTCGAGTGCTGAGTTTTCCCGCTGATAATCTCACCACGCGTGTTGCGTGGATGTTTTCGTGGAAATGAAACTGCGTGTAAAGCAGCTTGGGCGGTCCACGCGAGTAAAACCCATGCCACTGTCGGATTGTCTATTTTTATTCTCCTGGGAGTTCCGAAATCGAAAGTGTTTTAAAACTAAGGCAGCGTCCACACTGCATCGAAGAAATTTGAAAACGCAGCTTTATTTCTACGGTTAGACCTTCCGTCCACACTAATCCGTCAGAAAAATGGAACTCTTTGAAAACGCTCTTCAAACTAGAGGACAACGACAATTTTCTCTCATTTTAAAATTACATGTTATTTGGCTCGGGGATAGCTAGTGCTAATCTAGGTGGGCTATTAATCGCTTATGCATATAACTAAATTAATTAAATAACAATAATTAGATAGATTAAATAAATAGCAATTAAGCAAGGAATTTGAAAACGTCGGCTTTCCGTTTTCGCGTGGACGCAAAACATTTTAAAAACGGGGTTTTTCGAAAAGGATGGCGTCACAATAATCATATTATTTCTCTGACCGAGTTTTCCTCAAACAAAAATCCCAAATTGTGTTTAATGAAATTTGAAAAAAATTTTTCCTCATTTGCTGGTTAAACAGCTGGGCTGGGTTGGGTTGGGCTCACAGGAGCGTGAGTTTTGTATCCCTGTAACTGTTCTACGGGGAGCTAGCACTGTTGTTTATTGTCATAACGTTATTTATGTGTTTCACCACACCATCTGTGTTGGTTCCGTACTACATTTGTATCAATCTAATAAGTGGCGTAATCGTTCTATTGTCCACTCCTCTCTCTCCACCTCATCTAGAGGGCCGAACGTGTCACTTCTACGACTACTCGAAGTCATGTTCTGGTTCAAACTGCCCTTTGAGCACGATTCAGTGTAAAGACGAGCAGGACAAGTGCTTCTCGGTTTATGGCTACGCAACTGATGGAACTTTGAAGGTATTGGAATATAACAGGCTAGTTAACATTTTTCATTCTCCGCTCCACTCTAAGAAAGGTAAAAATGCACTCGGGAACAAGCGAAATCCCGTGTGACATAAACATCGCTGTCAATCTTTTGCCAGTCAAGCGTGTGAGCTTTCTATTCTGAGAGTAAAAGGATTTTCGAAGACGATCTGAGCGTATCCGACGATATCCGAAGATTTCCGAAGACGATCGGACTATTTCCCGGTTTAAGTCAACATAACGTTGTCGCCAGGAGGTTTTATTTGGAGAAATTGGAGAACTAAAGGAAGTAGCGTCACTTACATGGACGAATCGCTTCTAGTTGACATGTTTTAAGAAAGTGTGTCTCAAAGTGTGCAGTACGACCGGCAATCAAAACCGAACTGATACTATCCTAGCGACCCCCGACGAGCGACGATTTGAGTTGCCAGACGCAGGCAATTCGTTTTTGGCGCCAAATTAAAAGCTTGGAGACAAAAGTATTTCACATTAATTTTTTTTCACTTTTTACAATCTAATGATTTTTGGAATTATAAATCTCTTTTCGAGAATATTCAATGCCGTCCCTAGTGAGGAATCTTGCCCGACTTCAGTGCCTTTTCTGTCAACTTACATTCGACTTCAGGACAGTAGTTTTTCCCGCCTGCTGAATCTTGATTGGTCAATTCAAATTTCAGGTGCACCAGTCGTGTTCAAGGGGCTCCTGACCTGAATCAGTTTTAGTGGCCCCCTGATCCTTGGACACACAGTGACGTTAAGTTGTTTATTCACTTTAATAGGCTTTCCAAATAGGCTGCTGGAAACAAGATGACGGTTGTTCACAGACAGCGTGCATATTTCGGAAAGTTGCGTCAATACATTTCTGCTGTTGCACTGGGGACCTGTGCAACTCTTCGCNTCATTTTGCATTTTTGATTAAATACCACCATGTTGCGGACCTCTATGTATCTCAAGGACAAACTTTAATGTGTAGTTTTGTGCTATATGTATATATTGCGATAATGGCGATTCCTAAATACAGCGAATTCTGCACGTGCTGGTACTAAAGGTGTAGATGACTTCAGTGAAGATCTCTTTCTCTTTAGTCTTTTTCTTGACGATCGCAAATATGATCCATTTTAAATCTGTGACATCCAGCCATGCTCCCACGACCTTCCCAAAAGACCATATTCGTATTCCCGGTATTGGACTGGAACTAGCTTGCAGTCGAGGTTCATGCGGGGGAATATCATTAAAAGAGATTAACATCATTTGCACTTGAACAGACTCCCCGCATTAGCCTCAGTTGCACGCTAGTTCCAGTCCAAAACCGAGAATACGAATATGGTCCGTTGACTAGCCGCCCCCATCCCCTCTCTTGCAAGGTGCTTTTGAATCCCTTAATGGAGTGTACGCTCGGCATGGCATAGGCCATAGGTTCGAATCCCGTTGAGCTTTATGGGTGTCATTGATGACTGCTTGCGCTGAACATTTCGTGATGCTAACCGGCTCGACCTTGGACATTATAAAGAATGAAGTCTTTGTGCGATTACGATATTAAGGTTTCATATCATTTCGAAAATTTAAAATAGAACGGAGGTGATTTTGTATAACACAGGTTTATGACTGTTGCTGAGCCAGCCGCAAGACATTGCGCTCACTACTGAAAAACTGAAGGGCCAAATGGGACCGTAATGAATTTAAAAAGGAAAAACAAGATTAAACGATCATTTTAAAAATATTCATGACCAAGATATTTTAGCGTCCGTTTTCAGTTACCTAAATGGTCCCAAATTGCTTCACCTCACGCGCACAAAAACATTTAGTCAAGAAAAACCAACCCCCTTTGTCCAATTTTCTAAATGCTCTCTTTATTTCCAAGCAAAACGAAACACTACATATAAATTTAGCATAAGGATCAAATTTATGCTGCAAACTGCTTGTGGCATCCTGTGATCTTAATTACGGTAGAGAAAAAGACCTACTAGAACATTTCGATATTTTCGCTTTTATAAGATCTGAAGACTGAGTGGTCGATTGTAAAATCGACACTAACGTGAAACATGAACTTACAGTGGCCTTAAAGTTCCCACGCTTCTCTGGTGTTTGTAGCATGAACCGACTAGGGCTGTCCCTACTCCCCCTGAGTGGTATGCTAGTCCATCGCAGATCACTTCTCGAGCCCTTCCCCTCCCCCAATGTTTTTTACAATATTTAGAGAGGAAGCCACGTCAGCCTTAGCTGTTTTTCATGCGGTTTTCTATCCTGGTCGAACTGGAATTTGGAGTGTTGGTTTTTGTGCAGAGAGGAAAATCGAGGAAGTCGGAGAAAAACCCTCGGAGCCATGCCATGCGCGCCAGGCGAGAACCAACAAACTCAACTCACATATCCGCAACCCACATTTTTTTGTTCATTGGCACCAGCCAATCAGATAAAGAGAAGCAATGTAAAGTGTTTTGTCTAAAGAAACAGCGGAAAGGACAAAGACCATGGCACAAAATTTTTTGCGGTTCTTGTTTAAAGGGGCGGCTTTTTCACGATCTGCAAAAGCTGTTTTCCCCAGAAAGAAAAAAACTCTACTGAAGGTTACTGGAAGATGAATCTAGCTCTCTGGGAGAATCCTACAGGACAGAGTAGTACATGCTCGAATTTTGAAGACTTTACCTTAGTACGAGAAAAACAGGCAGCAACTTTTGCACCCGACTAGCTAAAAAGCGTCAAATTAAATTACTTCGCTACAAGAGAAAACAGTATCTCTTAATCGCAAGAATTAGATCCCGCAAAACATAAAAAAATCCCCAATCTGCAAAATTAATAACCCCGCAAAAAATTTTGTCGCTCGGTATCGATCATGAAACTTCAAGTCTAAAGGCGTTAACCTGTTAACCGCCCTTTCTTCAGTAGGAAAATTATATTTCAGATATTATGTGGAATTCCAGTTTCTCGAACCTCCAAGGGAAACGAAAATCAGTTGATTTGAAAAATCACGTAGTTCGAGAAATTGGAGAAAAAATTACAGTGTTTGACTGAGGAGAGGGAAAAGACTTTTGGTTCGAGTTATTAGTAGGTTTGAAAAGTCGAGGGTTCGAGAAATCTAGATCAGTTCCACTGGAATTCTATTTTTAGTTACATGTTTGTATGTGCGGCTTACCTCATCGCTCAATGTTATCGTTTCAAGCAGTTTTACTCATCCAAAGCCATCACAACTCCTCGTTTTGTCTGCTGTGGCTTTACTAGTTTCTTAATTAAAGATATTCTCAAGAATTTCGCGATAAAAAGAACACGTTCGTAGAATCACCAGCTTTGATTTAAGCATTTCAGTGTTTCGTGATACAACGGAGAAGTTTCATTAGTTGTTCTTGTCAAACTAAACCTCCACAGAAAAAATAACTTTAAATAATTGAACTAAATGCCTCATTTCGAGAACGAGTATTACAAAATGCGTAAATTAAGTAATCAAAAATAGCCTCTTGTTTATTGATATTTGGAGAAGTTAATTGTTATGAGTGGGCGTTGGCGATAGGTGAAAACTCTCGTGGGCTGTTAACCAAACGATTCAGTGAAGGTATACTTAAAAGCAAACACTTTTTCCTGTCTTGTAATTCATTCATTGCAAATAATGTTATTCGAAATTCAGGAGCAATCTTTAGATGCATTAGAAGAAACCGCAGGACACTGCTATCAAGTTATATAAAAATTTTAGTGAAGCCGCGAGCAGGACAAGGTGGCGTGTAGCTGAAATTCCTTCATATCTACTCCAGATATGCGCGCCGTATCACCCGCCGTGCTGCCCACGCTGTTAAACCCACAACAAATTACTGCTATAAATAGCTGCATGCTGTTTTTAGACAGTTATTCTCACTCACTGTCTCTCACGCACAGGTACTGATTAGCCGTTGCTTTGTCTGCCCGACGATGGAAAACAAGTTCTTGATTTTATTGCTGACCATCGCAGTTCAATTTCTGTCAACCGGTATGTGCAAGCCTCTGATTTCAATGTTTTTACAGATAGTGCACATGATTCTTAAAAAGCAAGTTTTTTCCCTGTCGAGCAGATAGCTGAAAGTAATGCATTTTGCTGTAACGATTATATACATTGGAGATTGATTGCCAGAAGTGTCACTCTTTTTTTAACAAATCATTGCGGGTTTATTTTGCCGTCTTGAAAATAGATTTTTTTGTTAGACTGAATCTCGAAACAGACTAGGGAAATAATTTTTACACTTCTGGGGCCCGTTTCTCGAAGGTCCCGAAAAGTTTTCACACCCGAATAACCTTAGCAAAATCTCAAACCTTATGACTAGAGAGCCGAAAAGATTTCGGGGCTTTCGAAAAACGGGCCCCTGCAACGAAAACCAATAACTGTCAGTAAAATTTGAGCAATTTGTTTCGTCAAAGTCTTTTTGCAGTAGCTATCTTTAGTTTGCAGCCTGTGAGCATTTGAAAAAAAAATAGTTTGCGAATAAAATATATTTCACAAAAGTTTTCCTTACGGACACTTTATTTCGTGCCACGTTTGCGGAGCACAAAACCGCGATGAATATTTAATCTATCGGTTGCTCGTATCTTTGGCAAGTGGGAAATGATATCGAGGATGTCACATGACCGCGCGAGGATACGAATTTTATCTTCGAGTGCTGAGTTTTCCCGCTGATAATCTCACCACGCGTGTTGCGTGGATGTTTTCGTGGAAATGAAACTGCGTGTAAAGCAGCTTGGGCGGTCCACGCGAGTAAAACCCATGCCACTGTCGGATTGTCTATTTTTATTCTCCTGGGAGTTCCGAAATCGAAAGTGTTTTAAAACTAAGGCAGCGTCCACACTGCATCGAAGAAATTTGAAAACGCAGCTTTATTTCTACGGTTAGACCTTCCGTCCACACTAATCCGTCAGAAAAATGGAACTCTTTGAAAACGCTCTTCAAACTAGAGGACAACGACAATTTTCTCTCATTTTAAAATTACATGTTATTTGGCTCGGGGATAGCTAGTGCTAATCTAGGTGGGCTATTAATCGCTTATGCATATAACTAAATTAATTAAATAACAATAATTAGATAGATTAAATAAATAGCAATTAAGCAAGGAATTTGAAAACGTCGGCTTTCCGTTTTCGCGTGGACGCAAAACATTTTAAAAACGGGGTTTTTCGAAAAGGATGGCGTCACAATAATCATATTATTTCTCTGACCGAGTTTTCCTCAAACACAAATCCCAAATTGTGTTTAATGAAATTTGAAAATTTTTTTTCCTCATTTGCTGGTTAAACAGCTGGGCTGGGTTGGGTTGGGCTCACAGGAGCGTGAGTTTTGTATCCCTGTAACTGTTCTACGGGGAGCTAGCACTGTTGTTTATTGTCATAACGTTATTTATGTGTTTCACCACACCATCTGTGTTGGTTCCGTACTACATTTGTATCAATCTAATAAGTGGCGTAATCGTTCTATTGTCCACTCCTCTCTCTCCACCTCATCTAGAGGGCCGAACGTGTCACTTCTACGACTACTCGAAGTCATGTTCTGGTTCAAACTGCCCTTTGAGCACGATTCAGTGTAAAGACGAGCAGGACAAGTGCTTCTCGGTTTATGGCTACGCAACTGATGGAACTTTGAAGGTATTGGAATATAACAGGCTAGTTAACATTTTTCATTCTCCGCTCCACTCTAAGAAAGGTAAAAATGCACTCGGGAACAAGCGAAATCCCGTGTGACATAAACATCGCTGTCAATCTTTTGCCAGTCAAGCGTGTGAGCTTTCTATTCTGAGAGTAAAAGGATTTTCGAAGACGATCTGAGCGTATCCGACGATATCCGAAGATTTCCGAAGACGATCGGACTATTTCCCGGTTTAAGTCAACATAACGTTGTCGCCAGGAGGTTTTATTTGGAGAAATTGGAGAACTAAAGGAAGTAGCGTCACTTACATGGACGAATCGCTTCTAGTTGACATGTTTTAAGAAAGTGTGTCTCAAAGTGTGCAGTACGACCGGCAATCAAAACCGAACTGATACTATCCTAGCGACCCCCGACGAGCGACGATTTGAGTTGCCAGACGCAGGCAATTCGTTTTTGGCGCCAAATTAAAAGCTTGGAGACAAAAGTATTTCACATTAATTTTTTTTCACTTTTTACAATCTAATGATTTTTGGAATTATAAATCTCTTTTCGAGAATATTCAATGCCGTCCCTAGTGAGGAATCTTGCCCGACTTCAGTGCCTTTTCTGTCAACTTACATTCGACTTCAGGACAGTAGTTTTTCCCGCCTGCTGAATCTTGATTGGTCAATTCAAATTTCAGGTGCACCAGTCGTATTCAAGGGGCTCCTGACCTGAATCAGTTTTAGTGGCCCCCTGATCCTTGGACACACAGTGACGTTAAGTTGTTTATTCACTGTAATAGGCTTTCCAAATAGGCTGCTGGAAACAAGATGACGGTTGTTCACAGACAGCGTGCATATTTCGGAAAGTTGCGTCAATACATTTCTGCTGTTGCACTGGGGACCTGTGCAACTCTTCGCGTCCAACAGGGTGAGGTTTTCGCTGAAACGTGAGTGGCACGGGTGTTATAGTAAATTAAGTTCCATTGATTTCGCTCGTTGATTTTTCGTTAAACCTCCGACTGCGAGGATCTTAGCCTTCAGTCTTCCATCTCACGTTTCCGGCTATCGACTTCCGTTGAGTTCCGTCAGACGGAAGTAAAGAATCGTGGCTTAGCCCATGTTTAGTGTAACACTATTTATACCTATATTTACCGAAATGATGTGAAAGATTAGGAGATATAAATAAGAAATAAGCCCTCGCCTCGACACTTTTAAATCTATATTAGCGACATATTCTAGCTCTCATGACCAATCGCCATAAAACTTCATTTTCATCTGGGTCTTCTCCAATCTCACTGAGCCTTTTTCCCTCCCTCACGAAAATGTCCTTACCAAAAACATCCTTAAAGTTATTTGCGATCACCCACTACATACTTTTGATGGTAGTTTTAGATTCGACGAAACCTGGCCTTTAAAAGGTCTTCAAAAGCAAAGTGGATAATATAATCAATCAATCAATTCAATCAATAAAACCTCTGGGTTTTTAGTTGTGACAGTTGTGTCAATCTCGTTAACGCAGTTGCATGTTTCTTTTAAATTTCAGGGTTAAAGTACCAGCAGCAGTTGATACTTCCAAGTAGTACAAACAAGATAATTTAAAGTGGCCAACAGTGCTACTGACCTTCCGGTTTTTGGTATTCTCTCACAGCTAGCCCAATGGTGCCGGAGATCAGACATTAGTTTTGACGTCTGGAGGTTAATGGTTTGAATAAATTTTTCATGTCAGAGAGATCTCCATTTCGAGATCGGTAAAACCTGATGCAAATAGAACTTTTCGCGGTTTCTGACGCCATCTTGCTTGGGAAGGGGGCCGGGGCAAACATGGCAAAAGTTACAGTAAATGTATGGGGAAAAGTTATGTTTTACAACTCACGGAAAATCTGAGTTCTAAAGTATCTATGAATTAAAAACTAAAGCTACAAGGTAAAACAATTTACTGATCGCATTTGATGGAAATAGCCTCGCTAGAAAGGCCACAGTTATGGTTTTCATTTTTCCATACATTTGTCTGTAAAACCGAGTCACAATTTCGCGGGAAGATTTAAAGACATTTGTATGAAAAATTAAGAGTGCAATTCCTCGCCTCACTGCCAATCTGTTCTTCGAATTGAGCCAAAAATCTGTTGGGTATCTGTTTCTTGTAACTCAGCACACACTCAGAAAGTCAATCACTTTCAGCTTATTGGACTCATTGGGCATCGAACTTTTAAATTCTCCTAACATTTACTACAATTGTTGCTGTGCTCGCCCCCGAGCAAGATGGCGTCAGAAACTGTGAAAAGGTATACTTGTCGTTGAAGTTGTTCGTCAACGTTATTGGTGTAGATGTGATAGAATTTTAAAGATCAGAAAGGTCTAAAAGCGAAAACAAAACAGTTTGTCGTACAAGCAAGCTGAAACTTTTAGTATATAAGTCAAGGATAGTTATAACACAACCAATATAAAAGATAAAATTGCAACAAAATAATAAAAATGAAACTTGTTAATGTAGCACAACACGAGTGACTTGTTGTTTTCATAGCAGTTGGCAATACACTCGAAGCTCTCTGACAACCACTTCCGTGAGTGACCAACTCTATTTATAACTTGTAATGTGAAACCCCGTTTGAATTAAAAGCTCTTTTACACGACCGTTTCTGCAAGGGACCGGGGCCATCTTTGCGTATTTCCAACCGGTTTATCTCCCGTAAGTGACCACCGAATTATTCTGGTTCTCATTAAAATCAACAGTACCTGATCAGATTTACCATAATATTGCGTAATTTTACTTTTTTATTTGGCAACAAAACTAACAAATAAAAGAGTGAACTTTAGATTCAGGCGAACCGCAAGATATCTACGAATTGTTTCTAGAGGCCAAAAAACAACCAATGAGAGTGTGCGTAAGATTCGTCCAATCCCCAGCTGTATGACATACGGCCATACTTGGTTCTCTGACGCAATATACCGGAGTTGCATAAATTAATTAATACTCCACAACCAGTCACGACCACGCGAGGTAAAAGCAAAAATAATTTATTTCATTGATGAGCTTTTTGTACAATGTTTGCAAAGCGTATGCTCGTACGCATCAAAGAGTAATGCAACAACAGCATTTCAACAACCGTTAACGCAGCAACAATGGGCACTGCTATGTAATGTTGGTCCGCGAACGACATGTATCTGAGGTGATTCCTCTGGGGAGGGGAGGGAGGGGAAATGAATTACTCAAGTATTAAAATGCAATGGGAGCTGATCAAAGGTGCTTTTAACTGCGATTTCGATATTGATGGTGTCATATACGACCAACCCGTTCCACCTCGTTATTATGGTCACTTTTTACCCCCTCCACTAAAAAAGCCCCGCTTAATCAGCCAGACTATTTTTTTTTTTGAAAACGTTGAGCAACGTTTTTACTTAACGTTATTTCTTTTTTTCTGGGGGGGGGNGGGAGGGGGCGTGGGTGGGAGAGATATACTCTCAGGTACACTCGACTCTCTCCGTCACATTCTTCCTTGAAAACCGTTTCCTTCTCTCAGCGCCGGAATATACATCAACCCCGACTCAATTTTCAACGTCGCAGGTTTTTTGTAGACACCCGCATGGTCCTGTGAGGCATGTCACAGCAAACGAGACTTGTTTCTCGGCTTCATCCGTGGCGTGAATGAAGCATCATCCAGGCCAAGCGACAGTCATGCCTCCATATTCCTGAATATATGGGAATTAATTCAGGTGGTGAGGTGTGAATATCTGAAGGCGGGACGTGGTCTGCAAAAGAAAACAAGGGAGTTAAAAATGTTTTTCCATTTTTTTTTTTTTTTTACTTACAGAAGCAAACGTCACGGTTTGCCCATCTTAAAATGTTTAGCTTAAAATTCTCAAGTTCGTCGCTTGTAACCCGTGTTAATCTTCCCCATCCCTAACCATCCTTGTTCGTTTATTGTTTCTTATTATCTTCTTGGTGTTTTCCTATCTTAGTAAACTACCATTTTCAGGTTTCCTTCAATTTAAAGGTAATTTTGTACGCAGCCAAAATAAATCAAAATAACGTGACTGAGCTCCTTTAATTTAAACGCCGTTGATTCGTGTTAGTTGCTACTGATAACTTACTTAGGGCAGTATTCAATCAAATGTCGAAAAGCAAAACCAAAGTAATCACTCTAGCCAATCAGACAGGACACACGTAATCCAGTAAACCAATCAAAACCCGACTCAGATAGATGTAGCCAACACAGAGTGCGGGAAAAATTGAATGGGCGAGACGCGACTGGTTCTGGGTTTAATTCTGATTGGATGAGAAAGTGACGCGAAATTTTTAAGCCAATCATAGAGCGTAGTAATCCAAAACCAAAGCAATTACTTTCAACGCGCTCTAATCAAATCGCAAACACCCTCTAAATATCGATATAAGAAATATCAAATTACACGCAAACTCCTCTGACTACCCAAGAAAACTGTAAGTAAATTAATGAAATGAAAATACAGTTATAGCCTTACCCAAACTGGCGCATGTGCAGATGACCTCGATTGGTACCGTAAACCAATCCATTCCCGACCAGGGGATGGAAGAATGCAGCATTGACACTCACGTGACTTCGTCGATCAGCGTCACATTCATGCATGACGCTTACAATGGGCTACGGATAAAAGAAACAAATCGAGTTGAAACATGCTCTAACTATGTTTTTCCTTTTTTAAAACAAACACGAGGGTTTATTTCGATTTGGAACATTAGCGCTCTTCTGAGTGAAGAGATTAACAAGTTATAGCCGTCACAACGGCATGGCGAACAAAAAAACATTGTTCAAATGTTGTTTATAGCGGTCAATGCGCTTAGCTACACCTAGCTAAATCACAGGCATGCCACTTTAACAATAATTCAAATGAACATAACATGGTTAAAANTATTTACAAAGGGTGACCGAAGAGTTGAACTAGGATCTACCAAGAAACAACTCCAGCTTAGTGGTCAGAGCGGAACTTGAGCCCGCGACCTCCGGATTTCAAGTCTCGCGCCGTAACAACTCGACCACCCTGCCTCCAGTTATCTGCATCGTCTGAATGATGCCTTGGATACAGCAAGCAGTAATTGAAAATAAGAAAGACAACCGACTTACTCGTACCGACAATGTACCAACCTTCGCTTCATCAAATGAACTGTCTTTCTTTGTAAGTCGAAAGATTTGCGCCACCATCTGAAGAAGAAACATTTGTCAAAATTGGAATATACTCTAACTTGTTGGAGGACTCGGGAAGTTTTCCAGCAGCAACACAGCCTAACCCTATGACTCAGTAACGTTGGGTGTTTTGTCCCGTTAGTGTAACGGTCAGGTAATGTGCATACTACACCCATGGTTCTCCAAAATGGAGACTTAAAAATGACTTGGAAACACCTGACAAATTGAAGCCAGTAGGCAATGACGAATAAAAATAGTTTTATGAGGATGGTCTTAGTCCGGGGGGACTCCCATATAAAAAGTACGGGGGTGCTAGTTGTACCTTTTAGGGGTTAAAAAAGCGGTCTAGGTACCTCCTAGGGTGGTCAGTCTCAAAAGGTCCACAGCGGGAGCTTTCGCAGTACCTTTAACAGTATTGAGCCGAAAAAATACGACAGGAGATGTTTTGTTTTAGAGTTGGTTTCTCTTAGGGGTAAAAATAATTTCAAGCCACGTCCACAACACAGGATCTGGGTACCTCTTAGAGGTTCTTTTCAAAATTTCCGACGGGCTTCCCCGCCCTTTTAACATGGGAGTACCCTCCCGAGATTTAAACATCAACTTAGCTGCACACACGAGCTACAACTTGCTGGAAAACCATCGGCTTATAAGATATTAAACTATTAAAAACATAATTGCATGGTCTACAACCAATGATATGACTTGCCTGTCTTGATGTGAGATGCAAGTGAAGCCTCCGAGCTGCTAGGCCGACCATAATGTATCGATTGCGGGGAGACAAGCTGATGGAGATAGCATTTGGACCTGGAATGCACACGGTTTGTTTACTGTCAGTCAATCAATTACTCCTAATATAATTATGGTTGCGCAGGTTTTTTCTCTCGAGAGGAATAACTAACAAGAACCGAGGAAACTCGGATTTCAGTCGCTCGGTTCCAAAAATTTGGTTCGCTACATCCGATGCTCTCCGAACACCTGGTTCGCTGCAAGCGATTTCTTCCGAAGATTTAGTTCGTTATATAGGACGTTCTACGAAGAGTTGTTTCAGTACGTTGACTTTATCAATGAAAGGTGCAAATCGCAAGCCGGCTTTCATCAATTACGAGAACACCAGAAATTTGAATGTTTATTGGCATAATATATTTCGGCTATACAGAGTGTACCAAACTAATCCTGTGGGAGTTGAACTCTTGTCTCATGTAAACACTTTCTTTAGTTCCAAAACATTTGCATGGCTGCTGGCCACGTGAGTGAAAACGCTCTATTGAAGCGCGGAGCGACTTGGTGAATGTTTCCAACGGCGCTCGAACCCAGACCTCTCAATCAGAATAAAGCCCAGCCACACCAGCCGGCGTATCGCGTTACTGAAAATGGAAGAAAAGTTGAAAATCTCACCGAATTTCTTTGAGAAGACGCAATGTCCCAGAGTGGTTTTCTCAAGAGAATAAACCGCCACTACGCCATCGTCCGGGAAGCCTTGGGTACTAGGTACAAACGTGGCCAGTAGTTTTCCATCGCTTGAAATGTCGCAGCTTGCGTCGTTGTGAATTTTACAGCTTGACGCGATCAGGTTAGATTCACCTGAAAATAAATCTCAGTTAGCTCTTGACTGGACTGTTACAACTGTTGGCAACGTGTTGAAAGTGTACAAATACGCACAGGGATGCAGTTGGTACTCGAGCTTGTGAGAACTTTCTTTATACGTCTTCGGGATATTTCAGTCCTCTTCGCAAGCATTATTTGCAAAGGATATCGCAAGACTTGGAGTACAATTCATGATTCTAAATAAGCACCAATGATGTTCTCAAACCGTTCAAAGTTGCATTAGCCTTAAGGCCAGTGTAGTAATTGCACTGGCCTTATAACTTTATTAAGGCCCCAAAAACGAGGACAGGAAGTTGCCGAAACACTGCCGCGGACTCATTGCTTTCCTAAACATTTCCTTCTTCTACGTACAAGCTATATTTTTCACAAAGAGTGTTTGAATCTTTTCAGAAACATTCTGTTTCCGTAGAAGAATTTTTTCCCTTTTACAATCTTCCTTTCCACGGAAACAAATTTGAGAAATAATGTTACACAACGTTTCTTCATACGTGTGTGTGTGAGGGGGG